GCTTAAGAGGCCGGGGGCCAGCGCTGTCCGCAGACACTTCCGGGTCACGTGGCCAGCGTGACGAAGCTGCTCTGGCGAGCCAGCGCAGCACACGGAAACGCCGTTTACCTTCCTGCTATAAAGCGGTACCTATTTATCTACTTGCACCCGGGGGTGCTTTCGAACTGCTAGGTTGGCAGGTGCTGGGACCGAGCAACGGGAGCGCACCCCGTCGCGGGGATTCGAACCGCCGGCCTGATGATCGGCAAGTCCTAGGCGCTGAGGTTTTACCCACAGCGCCACCCGCGTCCCAATGCAGGGGTCCTTTACCTTTACCTTAAACTGTAATTCTCAGGTTTCTTTGAAGGGAAGCTATTTGCTTTAAATGCATGGTGCGGTTGTGAACTAGTGATTCCCACCGGCCAGCAGCGTACCTAACTCCTCGGGTGCATGGTGCAGGGGCGATCCGCCCGTAGGGGCGGGGCAAGCCTCTACGACGCTTGGAGCCTCTACGATGCCTCCCCCTCAGCTGTAGGGCAGTTGAGGGAGAGGCAGTAGGCAGACGCAAGTCCCACACTGCCGTTTCAGGTAGCGCAAAACCTGCAGGCGCCTAAGCCACCACGTCACTCCTAAAAAGTTTCGTGAGCCCAATTTTTTACAGTGGCATGACTGGTTGCGAACGGGATCCATTCTAGAGGCTTGTTCACAACATGAAAATCCCGCAACCTGAAGCGCCGTATCTGCGCAGGTGCGCGGTGCAATTTGGCGCTTGTGCACATGCGCAAAGTGCGATATAGCGCTTCTGAACATGTGCGAGCGGCGAAACCCAGAAGTAACCCTTTCCGGTACTTCCAGATCGCCGCCGGACGCAACCTGAAAAAACATATCATGAAGCAAACGTAACATGAGGTATGACTGTACAGCCATACCTTGGGATAAATACGCTTTGGGTTGAGCACTTTTGGGTTGCCATAAGTAACGGAGCGCGTTACTTCTGGGTTTCGCTGCTCACGCATGCGCAGACGGTAAAAATGATGTCACGCGCATGTGCGGAAGTGGTGACATGCGCAGACGCGTCTTATGTTCCATTCGGGATGCGAACGGGGCTCCGGAACAGATCCCATTTGCATCCCGAGGTACCACTGTACTTTATTTTTAAACTCATTTTGTCAAACCTCCCCTCCCCCATTGATGACACCCGGGGCAGCCCGCATCCCCCGCACCCCCTTCCTCCGCTACTGCCACTGGCTGGCGGCAGCACACTTCGATTCTGGCCCCATTTTCCAGGCCATGATAGGAGGTGATATCAACCACAGGAAGCAGTGGCAAGGAAGGAGTGCCATCATTCTCGCACGAGCAGGGAAGCATGTGCTGAGCTTCACTCGCACTGACTGATGTCCAGGGGTCTCCTCTCCCTCCCCCTCCCACCTCTTCCCTCCCCAACCCCTGGCTGGACAGTAGTTACTCTTCAGAGATCTTTGTGTCTTGGCTGCGAGAGATGAAGTTCTTTCCTGATGCTATCTGACGTCTCAGCCGTTTTCAGTTGCAGATTAATGACTCTCCAAACGCAAGCGGAGGGGGGAAGTGCCCCTGGAGAGCAGGCCGGGAGTAAACGTCAGCCTGGTGCTCTCACAACATTCACCAGTTTGGCCCCTGCCTGTTACTGAAAGGGCATGGGCCACTGGTCAAAAGAGGCGTAAGGCACCCTTGGCTGGAAAATGGGACCGTGAGGGTATGGCAGCTGGCAGGAGAGCTAGGAAGTTGTGGGAATGTTGCCAACTTTTCCCCTAGCAGTGCTCCTCTGCCCCTAACCGAATGGCTGAAATTCAACAGCTGGCAAAAGTTTCACTCGCTGGTTTTTTCCCCTTTATTTTTAGGTATTTTATTATTGTTTTCTTTTGCCTGTGTTTAAGGCATAGTAAGTCTAACTGGGGGGGGGGGGGGAGAGAAAATGACTGTGTTGCGTTATAATGGAAATGTATAAATGCAAGGATTAGGCATAAATGCAGTTGCTAGGTTTGGCGGTTTTGTACTGGTTTTGCCCTGTACATAAATTTTGCAGGGGAAGCAAATGTCCTGGGAAAAATAAGTAAATTTCAGGTGTCTTGGGAAGCACGTAAAGTGATAGGAAGATTTTCATCTGCATCATTTCTGCACATGTCAATATGTGGAGCAGAATGGTTTAATCCACAGTTAAAGCTGAAGATTCAACCATTTCCATTTTCAGGGCAACAATAGAGCTTTTGGGGAGGGTCTTGAAGTATTTCCAGCATGGCACACCACTTTTCACCTTTTATCCAAGCCTGCTTGCTGCCACAGTTCCCCATCTCAGTTGCTGCTTTGCTGCCATTTTGTTACAGTTCAGGCTTCGTTCCGTTTCTTAAAGTGGTCCCAGCCAATCAGTGAACAGGAGATGAATGTGTTGGCATTAGGAACCAATCAGATTGGAGAATGTCACTGAGGGCAAACAAAGCCAACTGAGAGTGAGGACGATGCTTCCCGCACTAGTTGCATAGACAACCTACAGTCTTTAGGAGAACCAGTTGCCCTTGCTCTGCATGGGTGAACTTTATCAAAATCCTGGGAGGGAGGGGATACCAAAAAGTGGTTTTCCCCCTTTTCATCCAGTCATGTCCACAAAAGTAGAACCTGAGGCTACCTTGGAAAACTCTGGGTTGACAACAGGTGATGGAGCTTTATAGTTGCTGTGCATATATAGACCACGCCAAAATATCTGGCAAGTCTCTGTTGGTGGACACGATGCTCAGATACATGAGCCACTGGTGTGTGTGTGTGTGTGTGTGTGTGTGTGTGTGTACATGTACAAAATGGATAATGAATCTATGGATGGGACAGCTACCATGCAGGGAAGAGTTTTAGTTGTGTGATCTTTCCTGCAGGATCCAGACAGCCTGCTAAATCATATCCCCCAAAATTCCTCCAATGAAAGTAAAGGTACCCCTGCCCGTACGGGCCAGTCGTGACCGACTCTAGGGTTGCGCACTCATCTCGCTCAAGAGGCCGGGAGCCGGCGCCATCCGAAGACACTTCCGGGTCATGTGGCCAGCGTGACGAAGCTGCACTGGAGAGCCGGCACCAGCGCAGCACACGGAAACGCCATTTACCTTCCCACTATAAAGCGGTCCCTATTTATCTACTTGCACTTAGGGGTGCTTTCGAACTGCTAGGTGGGCAGGAGCTGGGACCGAACGACGGGAGCTCACCCCGCCGCGGGGATTCGAACCGCCAACCTTACGATCAGCAAGTCCTAGGCACTGAGGTTTTACCCACAGCGCCACCCGCCCCAATGAAAGTAGGGACATCCTATTCCGTAATTATTATTATGGACTACTGCAATGCGCTCTATGTGGGGCTAACCTTTGAAGGTGACCCGGAAACTACAGCTAATCCAGAATGCGGCAGCTAGACTGGTGACAGGGACCAGCCACCGAGACCACATAACACCGGTCCTGAAAGACCTACATTGGCTGCCAGTACGTTTCCAACCACAATTCAAAGTGTTGGTGCTGACCTTTAAAGCCCTAAACGGCCTCGGTCCAGTATACCTGAAGGAGCATCTCCACCCCCATCGTTCAGCCCAGACACTGAGGTCCAGCTCCGAGGGCCTTCTGGTGGTTCCCTCATTGCGAAAAGCCATGTTACAGTGAACCAGGCAGAGGGCCTTCTTGGTAGTGGCACACGCCCTATGGAACGCCCTCCCACCAGATGTCAAAGAGAAAAACAACTACCTGACTTTTAGAAGACATCTGAGGGCAACCCTGTTCAGGGAAGTTTTTAATGTTCATTAGGTTATTGTATTTTAATATTCTATTGGAAGCCGCCCAGAGTGGCTGGGGCAACCCAGCCAGATGGGCGGGGTATAAAATAATCATATTAATAATCATATTAATAATAATAATAATATTAATAATATTATTATTATTAATAATAATAATAGTTGTTGCTGCTGTTGTTATACTATTTATACCCCGCCCATCTGACTGGGTTTCCCCAGCCACTCTGGGCAGCTTCCAACGCATATAAGAAGATAATTAAACATTTAAAAAATCTTCCCTATGCAGGGCTGCCTTCGGATGTCTTCTAAATGTTGTGTAGTTATCTCCTTGGCTCGGTGGGGTCGCATGACTCCCTCCAACTTTTCTCTGATGAAAATCAGGACATCCCTAGGCAAAAGCGGGACAGAAGGCCTCTGTAAATCCAGGGCTGTCCCTGGAAAATGGGGACAATTGGAGGGTTTGGGTATGTGAAGCCATCCTACAGATGTCTTGAGGGTGGGGGCTGCAAGCTGCTTCCGACGCCTCTGGCAATCCTTGGCTCGCAGCTCAGGCCCTGCTGCCCCCTTGCTCCCTTTTCTTTCTCCTTCTCTCCTCTAACCGTCCCCCCCTTCCCCTTCTCCACCCCCGCCATGCCCGTCTCCCCTTCTCCCTCATGCTGACAGTTCCCTTACCAGGTCCGATCAATGGCTCTTGCTTTCAGGCTCCTTCATTATGCATGAGCCGGACTCCTGACTGTTTTGCTGAAGGTAACCCAAGACGGAGCTCTGCGGTGCTGCAGCCACCCTGGGGATGAGTGGATAAAGCGCCGAGGTGGAGAGCTTAAAAAAAAGAAAAAGTAAATAATAAAAATAAAAAGGATTTGAGCATAGAGCTGTTCGATGAGGTTGGACAGGAGGAGGGGAAAGTTTCCTGCCAGTTGCCCATCAGGCAAGTCGAAGTCAGAAAGGGAAATTGCGGAGTCCAGGTTTCCAACCTCCTGCCTGAACTCTTTTCATTCCACTTCCAAAAGGCATTGATGGCTAGCTCCCCGGGCAAGCGCCTAAATCGCCTCTCTTGCTTTCAGAAACAACAGAAGCAAAAGACTCCTCCTTGCACCTCTCTTTGCTTCTCCAACTCATTTGATATCCTTTTCTCCCTTCCCCCTTTCCCCCCCAACTTCTGGTTTCTGAGGTTGCCAGGGAGAAGCAAAAATGCCTCGTTGGGTCGCATGTGAAGATCTGGTTTGTATTAGCTCAGTCGGTTAGAGTGCGGTACTGACAATGCCAAGGTTGCAGGTTCGATCCCCGTGTGGGACAGCTGCATATTCCTCCACCCCCCCCCCCGGTAGATTTTTATTATTTTATTTAAAGATTCTTTTTCCAACAATCCTTATTATAACCATATTTTCCCTTTGACTCTGCTGAGTCTTGACTCCCCCCCCCCCGCAATTGGTATATTTATCACATTCTTATCGCGTACATTATTCTTATATCACTACTGTTTTACATTGAAGGTATTATTCCAGTCCTGCTAGTGTCTTTACGTTTTTACAGTTCTCCTTTAAGTATTTAATAAATTTACTCCAATTATTCTTGTATCTCTGGTCTTCTTGGTCCCGGATCCTCCCTGTCAATTTGGCAAGTTCTGCGAAGTCTGTCATCCTCACCTGCCACTCCTGGATGGTTGGCATATCTTGTGTTTTCCATTTTGGGGCCAGTAGGGTTCTTGCGGCGGTTGTGGCATACATAAACAAGTTCTGATCTTTTGCTTTAATCTCCCTTCCCATTATGGGAAGGGACAGCTGCTTATTCCTGCATTGCAGGGATTGGACCAGATCAGGCATGGCCAAACTTGGCCCTCCAGCTGTTTTGGGACTAGGACTCCCACCATCCCTAGCTAACAGGACCAGTGGTCAGGGATGATGGGAATTGTAGTCCCAAAATAGCTGGAAGGCCAAGTTTGGCCATGCCTAGACTAGATGATCCAACTCTACGATTCTACGCATCTATGCGTTCCGATGGGCAGCACAATTGCCACGGGTCAGTGGCATGAATGTGCTGTGTGGAGATGATGGTCACACCAAGACTTTATCCTTACTAGGTTAATTTATTTTCATGAGGCTGCTGCTGGTCTAAGGCTTCTTATTGTGAAGCAACCATACTTTGATGGGTATCTGATTCTGGCTTGTGATGAATAGCATCAATTGATTCTGTGTTTTAATTTCTTATATGGCTTGTTTGGTAATGAATTTATAATGCTAGCATTATTGAAATGTTTATTGGGATTGATGTAATGCGTTTTGAAACAAATTGGTACTAGGCTGCTCACAGCAACGATGCAGTGATATGGAGTCTTGCATTACTGTTTGTGTGCTGTGAACAGCTGTGGGTCCATTTTTTTGTGGGAAAGCAGCATACAAATTTAATAATAATAATAATAAAGCTTGAGTGGGGATTGAGGGCATATGGAAACCCAGAGTTCTGATGGAAGGAAGGCTTCAGAATCTGCCCCTTGTAGCAGGAGTGTAGCCTTCAGATGTTTATAGCTTGCATTTCTCCCAAGGAGCTCAGTGTAGTATCTATTACTTGCCCTCTTCTAAGTTCATGCTCACAACAACCCGGTGAGGTAGGTTAAGCTGAGAGAGAGTGGCTGGCCCAAGATCACCCACTGAACTTCATAACTGAGCGGGGATTCGAACCCTGGTCTCCCAGGACCTAGTCCTATAATGCTCTTACCACCGCAACCTCTCCCACTGTCCTTTTCTAGTTCTAAAGGCAACCGCGTGCAAGACTAGTGGCCCTCATTGTGTTCTTGGCCCTGAGATTCTGCGGAGATATGCCGCAGCAGAGAAGCAGTCGAGGAGCTACGTTTGAAAATTGTAGAAGCGTTTTTCCAAATCTGCCGTGTGCACGCCGACGAAATGCAAAAGCTAATTTCGCTCTTTTTCTGCCAAGGGCAAAGGATATTTAAATATCTGTAAGGAAAACCCTGGGACGTGGGTGGCGCTGTGGGATACACCACAGAGCCTAGAACTTGCCGATCAGAAGGTCGGCGGTTCGAATCCCCACAACAGGGTGAGCTCCCGTTCCTCAGTCCCAGCTCCTGCCAACCTAGCAGTTCAAAGCACCTCAAAGTGCAAGTAGATAAATAGGTACCACTCTGGCGGGAAGGTAAACGGCGTTTCCTGCTCTGGTTCACCAGAAGCGGCTTAGTCATGCTGGCCACATGACCCGGAAGCTGTACGCCGGCTCCCTCAGCCAATAAAGCGAGATGAGCGCTGGAACCCCAGAGTTGCCCACGACTGGACTTCATGGTCAGGGGTCCCTTAAGGAGAACCCTGTAGGATCAGGCCAAAGGTCCGTCATCTGTTTTCGCTCAGTAACCAACCAGTTGCCTACAGGATGCCTAGAAGCAGGATATGAGTTCAGCAGCCTGCTCTCCTGCTATTGCCCACCAAAGACTTCTAGTCGGAGACATGCTGCTTCAACGAATGCTTTGGAACTGGTAATAATAATAATAATAATAATAATAATAATAATAATTTATTTGTTGTACCCCGCCCATCTGGCTGGGTTTCCCCAGCCACTCTGGGCGGCTTCCACAGAGACCAAAAATACCATAAAAGTGTCACACATTAAAAACTTCCCTGAACAGGGCTGCCTTAAGATGTCTTCTGAATGTCAGGTAGTTGTTTATTGCTTTGACATCTGATGGGAGGGTGTTCCACAGGGCGGGCGCCACTACCGAGAAGGCCCTCTGCCTGGTTCCCTGTAGCTTTGCTTCTCGCAATGAGGGAACCGCCAGAAGGCACTCAGCGCTGGACCTCAGCGTCCGGGCAGAACGATGGGGGTGGAGACGCTCCTTCAGATATACTGGGCCGAGGCCGTTTAGGGCTTTAAAGGTCAACACCAACACTTTGAATTGTGCTCGGAAACGTACTGGGAGCCAATGTAGGTCTTTCAAGACCGGTGTTATGTGGTCTCGGAGGCCGCCCCCAGTCACCAGTCTAGCTGCTGCATTCTGGATTAGTTGTAGTTTTCGAGTCACCTTCAAAGGTAGCCCCATGTAGAGCGCATTGCAGTAGTCCAAGCGGGAGATAACTAGAGCATGCACCACTCTGGCGAGACAGTCCGCGGGCAGGTAGGGTCTCAGCCTGCGTACCAGGTGGAGCTGGTAGACAGCTGCCCTGGATACAGAATTGACCTGCGCCTCCATGGACAGCTGTGAGTCCAAAATGACTCCCGGGTAAGTCATAGTTGTCTCCTGTCCTTCATTCTTCAGCATCCAAGCCAGTGTAATGCTTAGCGTTTCACCTTAGAAAGCTATGCAGTCCAAGCTTTTGGGGGTTGGGGTGGTATCAGGATAACATGGGTGACAATCTGCCACTCAATTCTGCATGGCAATGCCAAATAGTGCCATTGCCTTCCGTTAAGTGTTTGGGTGTAATCCTTGATGCCTCCCTCTCCATGGAGGCGCAGGTTACAACAACAGCTAAGGCGACATTTTTCCACCTTCGCCGCATCAAGCAGTTGGTCTCTTACCTTTCCCGCCCCGACCTGGCCACAGTGATCCATGCGACGGTCACCTCCAGGCTTGACTACTGCAATTCGCTCTACGTGGGGCTGCCCTTGAAGCTGTCCCAGAAACTCCAGCCGGTGCAGAATGCTGCAGCGAGGCTCCTCACAGGGTCCCTGCCATGGGAGCATATTCACCCAGTGCTTTTCCAGCTGCACTGGCTCCCGGTGGAGTACAGGGTCAGATTTAAGGTGCTGGTTTTGACCTTTAAAGCCCTTCACGGCCTAGGACCCTCGTACCTACGGGACCGCCTCTCCTGGTATGCCCCACGGAGGACCTTAAGGTCCATATATAGCAGCACCCTAGTGGTCCTGGGCCCTAAGGAAGTTAGATTAGCCTCAACCAGAGCCAGGGCCTTCTCAACACTGGCTCCGGCCTGGTGGAACGCTCTGTCTCATGAGACTAGGGCCCTGTGGGATCTGATTTCTTTCCGCAGGGCCTGTAAGACAGAGTTGTTCCACCTGCCCTTTGGCTTAGAATCAATTTAATTCCCTCCCCCTCTTTCTTTTTCCTTTCTCCTCCTGTGAAGAGGCTGCATCCTAATGTTTTAATGTTGTATCTTAATCTTTTAAATTGTATTTTAATCAACTTGTTTTTATTATTGGTTGTTAGCCGCCCTGAGCCGTCTTGGCTAGGGAGGGCAGGGTATAAATAGAAATTTATTTATTTTATTATTATTATTATTATTATTAGCGTCCAGGGAAATGGTCACCAGTTGTGCAAGAGCACAACTTTCCTCTTGCATGGCTCACGTTCAAGTTGAACGAGGCAAGATGGGTCGAATCGTCTGGATCCACGGGTGCGCATCTCATCTTTTTCACGGGGGTGGGAACTTTAGAAAGGAGTTCGACTGTAAGCGGAGGGCATCGGGAGAAAGGAGCCACAGCCTCGACAGTTTATGAGTTGTGCCTGGCATTAGTACGAGCACTAATGAGCCTAGCCCTATTGTGCTAATTGGGCCAATTTGTCTGAGATTGCTAGGGTTGGTGATCCATGCAAGGGATGATGAAAGGATGGGTTAATGAAATCGATCCAGGGCAATTGAATTTGAGAATAAAAGGTTCTGTTTGCCTGGTGTCCTTTCCCCAGGGGATCCCCTTGGCCTGACTGGGCCCAGCAGCTTCTTGCAGCTATCTAAATGGGAACCTCTAGGCTGCAGTGTTGGAACTGACTCGAAACCAAATAGCTGTATTAGTGATGGTGATGGCGTGTGGGGCAGGGGAAGGGTAGGGTGTTCCCATTATGCAACAGCTACAGGGGAAGACTGCTCGAACCATCAAGGGACAGGTTTGGGCACCTGCTGTGCCCCACTCTTCTTCCAGGAACCCTTATAAGGAGGGATTGCTGTCTACAGTGGTACCTTGGGTTACATACGCTTAAGGTTACAGACTCCGCTAACTCAGAAATAGTGTTTCAGGTTAAGAACTTTGCTTCAGGATGAGAACAGAAATCATGCTCTGGCAGCGTGGCAGCAGCAGGAGGCCCCATTAGCTAAAGTGGTGCTTCAGGTTAAGAACAGTTTCAGGTTAAGTACGGACCTCTGGAACGAATTAAGTACTTAAGCCAAGGTACCACTGTATAAGTATTTACAGAACTGTAGAGTTGGAAGGAGGGACACAGGTGCCGCTGTGGTCTAAACCACAGAGCCTAGGACTTGGCGATCAGAAGGTCGGCGGTTCGAATCCCCGTAACGGGGTGAGCTCTCGTTGCTCGTTCTCTGCTCCTGCCAACCTAGGAGTTC